CACAGCCGTTTCCAACGTAATTCGTTATCTGCGCTTTTGGAGCTCCTTTGTTAGTCAATGACACTCCTAACTCCCTCTGAGTGGTCTGGATCTCTTCCATAGCAGAAGAAAAGTAATTGGCTACCCAAAGCCCCAAAAGGGAGCTAAAAACCTAGGAGCAATTAAGGAGACTGAAAGCAGCTGTGGTCAGGTAGACTGGAGAGAACCGCTCTCCGTAGACCCATAGAGGAGATCAATGAGGTTTGTGATCCAGACAACCAACACACCATCTGAGGCTTTACCTCTTGGCTTTGATTAATAAACCTAAGGCACAGGTTTGGTACAAGTTCTAAATGAAAACTTAGATATAAAAGATTGAGAACAGTTTTTGCTTGTAAAAATCAAGAGAGGCTAGAAGACTTGAAAACTCACAAGACATACATATTTAATGACATGCCACAGAGTCTACATTATTTATAAGTCAGGATACCCTCCGGCTGACTTTTAATTTGATCACGAGCAAACTTGCGCTTTGTTAATGGACATTTGGCCTTTGTATTAAGAAAGAGGCTGAAAAGAAATATGTACTTCTTTCTTTAGGATGGATGACAACTGGCATATAGGATAGATTTTTAAAATCCACATTAGCAGCAGAAAGAATTATATCACCATTACATAAGACTTTATACACATTTATCTATGTGTAGTTTCATTCTATTCTACAAATAACTATACCTGCGTTGTTCCCAAAGCCAAAGTAATTCGGAAAGACATGTGAAAGGAAAGAAATATGTCAACAAATTCAATACCAGAAAGTTAAGAAAACAACCACATTTTTATCCTGTTCATTGAATTCTTTCCATAACCTTTTCCTGGCCAGGTCCACATAGAACAAAATAATAGTTTGAATGTTGATCTGGACAGTTCATAGAAAAAATCAGTTATTTCAGTAATTCTAAGTGTAAAGATTAGGCCTTAGCCTTTCAGCTTTAGTTATCTGATTTGCGGGAACTGCCAACAAATATTACAAATCTGACCAACTGCAAGGGATGATAAACAACTGTGTCTCTATTGGGTTCCTGCCAAAAGATCAATTTATTCAACAAAGTGTATTTGAAACCCAGTCCTGAGGAAACTATTTAAATTAATATGGAAAAGAATTCCCAATTATTAAACTAACTGAAAACTGCGAGTAGTTTCTGGTGTAGACTCCTTCTAGTTCACGGTCATGTTGAAGAAAAGCTCACAGAAACGAGAAGATTCCATTTACCACAGTAAACGTAACAAGAAATTCCCGATAGACGACTCCACAGCTGCTTCTTCCCCCAAAAGGCACCCCCAATCCCCCCACGCCAGCACACTTGTGCACACACATACACCCCCTCTCCAATCGCCGTCCTGAAAAATCGCTGGCCTCAAAGTTTTACATTTCGCTGACAACTGAAGGGAGCAACAGTTGCCCTGCACAGCTGCAGTCTGAACACAAAGGTTAGGAGGTGGGAGCAGGCAAATTCAGCTCCAACTGCTAACTCAGGGGGAACGATTATTCCTTAGAGCGGTGCACCCTCGGAAACTCAGAGTCCCAGGCAGCATGCCAGTGGTCACTAAAACCCCCTAGAGCTTGAATCTCAAAACCCAATTTGAAAATAGAAGAAAACATTGGTTACTCAAAATACTTGAGATGTTGTCGCCTAAGCTTTTTGGCTATATTTATTAAGATGGAAAGTGTTTCTTAAAATTTCTGAATATTGTGGTATCAATAACACTAACACCACATTTTTCGACATTCTCTATGATCCATATCATTTTATAAATACACACTTCTTGCATAGTTGTGATCAGCGGGCAAACAAATGAGTTTCATTTATTTTTTTCTTCCCAAAGGCCATTTGACCAGATAATTCTAATAGCCTTTGCCCTCTTCCTTGCAAGAATGCTGTAATCCTGGCTATAATTGTTTATCATTTATTTTGCTGGTACATTGACAGACCATAGTAAGTTAGGAGAAATTAGTTTGATTTATGCTCTATGGATTATGTTTTGAATCTTTTAAACAGCTTTTAATCATCTAGATTTAAAATTAAAAACTATAATTTTTATAATATACTTTGCAATAGTGTTTTTTACCCCCAAACCTTAGAACAAGAAGACAAAAATACTAGGAAATATATTTCTATGCATATGTCTTAAAGCTTGTCAAAAAATTTTGTACATATGATGTTATCTCTGAACCAACATTTTCTTACCATAATCATTCCTCACTTTTAATATCTGGCCAAAACTTTATCATACTATTCTTCCATTAAAGAAGTGAAGTAGATGCTTTGCTTTATAACGATTACCATTTTAAATAGAATTTTCCCATAGCATAACATGTGCCCAATAAATAATAGCTGTCATTATTATTATGGCAATCCATGCTGTCCACTGTATGCTCTAAGGATTATATTTTATATAAATATACATATATTTATATTGTATAAATATAACATTTATGTTTCATAACATGTTTTTCTTTTCTTTTGGTGAGGAAGATTGGCCCTGAGCTAACATCTGTGCCAATCTTCCTCTATTTTGTATGTGGGATGCCATCTCAGCATGGCTTGATGAGCGGTGCATAGGTCCACCTCGGGCCCCCAAAGCGGAGCGCACGTACTTAACCACTACATCACTGGGCTGGCCCCCTATAACATTTTTTTCAAATGTGGGATGTGACCCCTTAGTGGGTCATGAAATCAATCTAGTGGGTCCCAGCCAGGATTTTATAAAAAAATGAAATAAAATAGAAAAGAAAATATATGAATGCATTTCATGTGGTAAGAGCAAGTATTGTTTTGTGAAACTTGTTTTAGTATTGTGAGTAAGGGGGTGTGTGTGTGTAAAATGTATTTCTTACTATGGGTTGCCTTTAAAAGTTTGAGAGTCAGTGTTACAAGGCAGATATTTCCAATGAACATAATGAAAAGATAAGTATTCACGCTAGAAAAAAGGAAAACAACTACATTTATTTTTCTATAGTTAATAATCAATTCTTTTCTTTTATGTTCAAAACACAATTACTCCGCTTTGTACATTGCACTGAAGGTATTCAAACTATTTAAAAGTAATTTTCCATTCATTTTCCATCGGCACCATTAGAGAATTAATAGGCCAGCATTTGTTGACATGATTATTTTCCACAAATGGATTCTCACTCTTTTTCCATTTATCTACCATGAAATAATAAGATATCCAAGGACTCTTGATGTTTAGTTTATATTCTCTAATGATGACCCATCTCCACGGCAAACACGTGACAATTCCCCTTTATGACAAATTGATCTATAACAAAACAGCATTTCATTGGAAATCTATGAAAAATAATTCCAATTAGTCTACATAAACACCCACCCACATCCACACATACGCTTCCATATTAAAACCCTTCAAACTTTTATGGGCTCTCTTCTCAGAAATCATAATGTTGTGTGCAGAAGAAAAATAATCAACTTAGTTATTGTACCTTGGACTGTGCATTTCAGCACTATGGAGAAAATAGGCCAAGTAGAAAACAAAAAGAAGTGTCAATCTTTAGGGGTCAATGTTAGCATTTGTATACATGTTGGGGAACAAAGGCAGAAGTCCCATACTCCCTTGAAAAATCATAAACTCTGCCTTGGTATTCAGCCTGCTATATTGACATCAATATTCAGAACGAGGGTTGGGTGCTGGAGTACAGCTATTAGGAGAGTGAGGGTTCTGCCCTTGAACGGAATTCACAAATATGCCACTTCATCTTCTCAACATTTGCTCCAGTGAGATCATCCATTGTGACCATTTAAAGGTAACAGTCATTTCTAATGGAAGGGAGTTTCCATGGGAAGCCTTTCTATAAGAAGTGCGGAGACTTAAAAGGGCAAGGAAGATTCTAAGAGTTCCCTACCTCACAATTTAGTTCAAACCATTTATTGAGTACTTACTCTGTGCCAGGCACTATGCTAGGGACTGGAGACAGAGATGAGCTTCCAATTGAGTGGCAGAACCCCAAAAGCACACAAAAAGGGTGTGCTAAGGGCTATGATTGAGGAATACTCAAGATATGAAAGAGGCATAGAGGAGAGCCACTCAACCCGGACCAGGAGCCGATGGAGATCAATGGAAGTTTCTTAAAGAGGCAATGTTGGAGCCGAGTCTTGGGGAAGAGGGAGAGGTACTTCCCCCGGGGAACTCAGGTCACACAGCACAATATATGTTCCAAACATTGCAATGAAGTCTAAACCATATGAGATTTGCAAATTTTGAAACAATAACAATTTGATTTGGTTTGACCTAAACGTTGTATATGTTCAGGATTCCACAAGCAGTCTGGCAGTGCTGGGGTGCAGTGAGACACAGGAAGACAGGAGAGACGAGGCTGAAGAAGAGGGCAAAGGTCACATAAACTTCTCACATGGGAATCCAAGTAGGAACAGACACAGGCTGAGATTTTATCCTAGAACTAGGATACCACTCAAAGTACTAGAATTACCTAAATGTTCAAGTATATTATTCAATAAACTTTAAAACACCAAAAGGGAAATTAAAAACATTTAAAAATACATTTTATTCATAACTCCACTTCCTTAAAATAGTAACTATTTTCAAACCATCCTGTTTCCTTCAATTTTTATCACACGGTTTCTTAATATATATGCCATCTTAACTCACAAACTTTTGCATTCTCCTTTATCACTTAACATTGACTGGTAAATCATTTCCCATGTAATCATCATGTATGTTATTTTTAATGGCTGTAGAGTGTTTCACTGCATTCTTACCATAGACAACTCAACCATTTTCTTTCTGTATGTCATGTAGGCAGTTTCCAGATTGTAGGCATTTCCAGTCCTATGACAAATGACATTTCATAAATAGTTTCTACATGTATATTTTATCTTATGCTTTTCTTGAGGTAAATTCTAAAGTGCGAGATTGCGAGGCTACTGGGAATGAACATTTTTATGGTCTTTTGTTAGCCAGGTGGAAGGGGACTTGGTACTTACTGTTTTGCTCCAAGTAAGGCCTGTGGTGTGGTGCTCCTTGATGTATGTTTGAAGCTCACTCCAAATGTTCAAATATGACTTCACCCAGTCCACATGGCGTAAATCACTTTGTTATAAAAGAGAGTGGAAGAGAGTGGAGTTAAGATCTAAAATAAAATTTTAAAAAGACTGGAGGTCTTACATGGTAATCCAGTTACTAAGACTCCAGATGACTCTGGGGCAATTGTCTTTCTGGTCCAGTTACCATGAGCTGATTCCAAAAAGAACCGTGACAGGTTGGCGGTCCAGGCCTCTCCTGAGAGGAGCCAAGTGAAGCAGAGAGGACCACGAAGAGGGGACCCCATTGAACCAAGCCAATTTCGGCCGTGTGTCCTCATGTCATCTCTAATGAGGAGAAGAACACGGAGGGGAGACCATTTCTTTCTGGACTGCTTCTGATGCAAAATGAAAAACAATGCGCTTTCAGGAAGGAGAATGGTACGGAAAAGAGAAAAAGTCTTTTGGTTGGTTTTCTAATAATTTGGTTGAATTATTCAGTTGAAAGTGTAACCAAATTGGAGAATTTTAGACTGGTAAGGAAGTTGCTATTGTAAGAAAAATGATTTCCTACAAATGGGTAACACTTCGTACTTCTAAAGGGACATTCATTTAAATTACCTTAATCTGACACTCATGATGACAAGGACACGATCACTATTTTTATCCCAATTTTACTGAACCAAGAGGTAGTAAAATGCTTACCTTTTAAAACAAGATTAAGATACAGGATTGAGAGAACTGTTAGAAATATTAAACTTACAGACAGGAAAAAATAGTTGCATTTCCTTTGGATAATTTCCACCTACATATTTTTTTCCACTTTGAACGAAGTAGTGGTAAACGAGAAAACGATGAAATCTCAGTTAACAAAAATGTAATCATGTACCTGGGCCAGTAATCTGAAGACAATCACTGTAGGAAATCTCTACTATTCCAACTCTTGCCAATAATGACTTGTCTCTGGACATATTTTGTTTTGTTTTCCTTGAAAAGCTCCAAGTACCACCAGCACGTTTAGAATCTGCTTGTATTAAGTCATGCCATTTAAGATAAGTGACATGAGGAACTGAAGTCATAATTATGCACTCCTCAAAGAGGAAAAACATAAGTGTGATTTTGTTCTACATTTTTAGGTTTACTGATTATATTTATCAAATCTATGAAATATTTCATTGTCACTTTCTCTCATTTTCACAGTCAAAACCCAAATGGCTAAGTGTAGCTCTATAGTCTCTCACGTCAGTTTCCTTATCCTATAGGGTTTTGTGGGGGTCTTAGTACACTGCCTTGCACATAAGAAGCAGTATATACAACAGCTATTATTAGAGAACTAAAATCATCTCAATATAAATGTACACACATATTTTTATATATGGTCATTTAATACATATATATGCATATGCACACACGTGTATGCACATACAACACACACAAATGTCTGTAGACATTATAGAAATAGCAGGCTGCATGTTCAATATACTTTCTATAAGAAGTTTAACAACCGATGAAGTCCAAACCTGTATAGGCAAATTCCTTTTTCTTTTAACTACTACAGTATGATTTTGACTTGAAGAAAGTTCTAGCAAAACTCGCAGTAAGGAATAACAGTATGGTGGTGCCTTCTAACCTGAAGTCAGTCTCTCAGAGACAACAAATTGAGCAGGATTCAACCACACATTGGGACCTGCAAACCCATCCTCAGTTTTCACTTACCCTGGAAGCTATGGTGGGGTCATGTGACATTTAATGATTATGACTCAGAGAGGTCATACTCTGTAATGCCAAAATAATTAACTTGCTCTATTCATTTATTGAAAAAGAGCCAACCAACCAGTCAAGCCAGTTGTAAGGGTTTCACAGACACAGAGTCTACTGGCCACAGCCCTTCTGTTTAAACCACAAGGAAGCCTGCCTTTCAACTCCTCTCCCCACGGGCTGATCTGTCAGGGAGGCAGCATGAGTCGCAAATGATGGCAACATCCTGCAGCTCTCACCAAGCCCACACAGTGAAAGCACGGTTGGCCGGTGCACCCGGAAATGGGTGTTAGGTGAGTGGTGTGGAGTACTCTACTTCTGTTGGGTTACCACCCCTGCAAGCTCAACAGTGACTTGGGACTGGTTTGACCACTTTTGGAAGTGAAGTGAATGAATCCACCACACCTCTGGCTGCATATCTCCGGCATATTACACAGTCTTCAGGGGGTCCATTAAGTTTAACTGAGTTGTCCTTGATGTAAGTACATTTTCTACTTAATAGCTGACATCGAGGGGCAAATACTGGACACTCTTCATATGTGTACAAAAAAGTGGAAAACCCCAACCTTGTTGGCTATGCTACCACCTGGGGAGAATTAGTCACACCCATGGCCCCAACATACACTCAGGTAGGGAGTGGGAGGAGGACAGGAGCTGATGGACTGAGATAAAAACGAAAAGGGCCTCCAAGGGTGATATGCAAAAACGTAGAGGCCTAGGGGGAGCCTAAGATCCTGAACAGGCATGTGTAGGTGTGTGTCTGTACCTCCTGAAAAAAACACTATGTGAAGAGGTCATCTATTATGTGGCAGTCACCATGGGTGTACGTTCATGCTGACATATTTTTATGTCTAGGTTTTGTAACTTAAACCTGTTCTTCCCTGAACTGTTATTTTTATGTGAGAAGAGCAGGTTGACTTGCATTTCTGATGCCTTTTCTCATTCTTATTGCACAATTCTATAGTCTTTAATACAACATGGCAACATTTGGAGTTGTGTCATTGGGCACAATTGCCTCAACCACAGTTCTCTGCGTGCAGCAAATCTGTTACTGGCTATCACTGATTTAACCAAAGTTTCCTCAGGGTGAAAGAGACCTTAGGACGGAAAAAGGCGGGCTGAAGTCTCTTACAGCTGTACTTCCTAAAAGCTACAAGACCTATTTTGCTAAAATAGAATGACAAAACTCTACGAGGGGAGTGGAGCACTGTGGCTGTTTTCATTTTTTAAATATAATAGTTTTATTAAGATATAATTCACATCCCATACAATTCACCCATTTAAAGGGTACAAGTCAATAGTTTGGTTCAACATCTGAACATGTGCAATCACCACCACAGTCAATTTTAGAACATTTTCATCACCCCCAAAAGAAACCCCATTCCCATTAGCAGCTACTCCACATTTCCCCAAACTTCCCCAGCCCCAGACAACTGCTGGTCTACTTTCTGTCTCTATGGATTTGCCTCTTCTGGAGTTTCATATAAATGGAATCACACAATATGTGGTTTTTTGTGTCTGACCTTTCACTTAGCATGTTTTCAAGGTTCATCTATGTTGCTGCTTGTATCAATACTTCATTTTTTTAAATGGCTGAATAATATACCACTGTATGGATATACATTTTATTTATCTATTTATTAGTTGATGGACATTTGGACTGTTTCTACTTTTTGACTATTATAAATAATGCTGCTATGAACATTCATGTACAGGCTTTTGCGTGGACATATGTTTTCATTTCTTTTGGAAATACACCTAGCAGTGGAATTGCTGAGCATGGCTGTTTTTTATAGTAAAAAATATTGGTACATATTTCTTAAACTGAGTGGTGGATATATGGGTATTTTTTGTATTGTAATTCTTTATAGCTCACATATATTATATAAATATTCCTTTGTATCTACTCAATGTTTTTAAAACCAAAAATAACCTAAACAAGGAATAGGTATGCAAAATTTGAAGATGTAATATTGGTCAATGACCTGAAACTACAGTAGGTTTTTATCTCTACATTCTATCCAATTTTTGTATATTCCATATAAAATTTGTCTTATAATGTTGTTTTCTTCTTTTCCTGTCTTACAATGAACTATTTCTTCTGGTTCATATTTTTGGATCTATGTTAGTAATATAAAGAGGTGAACTGAAGCAATAATCCAGACCATTCAGTTCCTCAAGTTTCCTTTCATCTGAATAGTCTGGGTCCGTGAGCGAGGCACCAGAGCCCCTGCCTTTGCTGACTGATGGTCACTTCTACTTCTGCCACCTGAGGGCTCAGAGGGGGATGCACTCTTGAGCCCAGCACCTAGGGCGTGAACTTTGTTGCTCATAGTTTTGCCCCATTCCTTCCCTGAGTGACTAGGCATCAGCCACATCACATTTAGCCAGCTGTTTATGGGGCAAGCCATGACATTATCAGAGATTGAGGAATCTCATGATACCCCTTAAGTAGTTTCGAGACATTTTCTGGTTATTCAGCTCTGGTCTCTCTCCATTTGGTCCCATTTTCAAGTCTAACCCCAGTTTAAGTCTCTCTAGGATCTATTATTTGTGCTGCAGAAAGCAATGTCCTTTTGAGCTCATTCTTCAGGCAAAATCCCTTGGTTCAGACTCATCTCTCTTCCCAGCAGCCCTCTGAATGGCTGCTATTCTTATGATGTCTCTCTGTCCACCCCAACTGGATTTCATCTCAACACCATCTCCGTTCCGGTTTCCCTCTGATTGGCCTGCCTTATTGTCTCATCTCATTTCTGTTCTTCCTTTACACTTCATTTCCTGATTCCTCCTTTCTTCTCTCTGCTCATCCACCAACTCTATTTTTATCAGTGTAAAAGTTTTGTGCCCACACAGAGCTGGTCTGTCACAAACCATCACAGAGCTCTCTCATTATAGTGGGAATATGTAACAGTGATATGTATTCAAGTAGGGAGAGTTTATTCATTACAAGAGAACTGAGGCCAACTTTCTAAAACACATATATTATCTGGATAACTAATTTCACTTTCCACTTTGCTTTACCTGCAAAGATGGGATTTTTCCTTAACGTTTATAGTAAACTAGTCTTTGAAAGAAATCAGTAATGAACTGTATTGTTTTGGGGCAAATGTCTAACAAGCGATCAGTGGAAAATTCAGTCAGTAAAAGAAAGTACGTACCTGTGTTTGTAGTCCTTTAAGACCCTGTTAGTGTAAAAGGTGGCAGCATCATTCATCTCCTTGACATAAGGACCGGGTTTGGGGGACTGAGAGAACAGGACCATCACCCAAGCATAGAAGGAAAAAAAAATAGGATAAGAAAGAAAATGCCTTAAAGGAGAAGAAAAGCAATGGAGACACTGACTTGAAAGTCGGAGGCAAATTTTGCTCTGTAAAGATGAGTAAAACACTTTCCACATGTCAGAACACAAACCACTGAACTTCAAACAGGATAAGAAAGAGCTGATGCTTTCAGCCAGATCAGTGTAACAGGAGGAGGACAAAGGAGGCTGAGGGTACCTCTGAGTTCTCCTCAACACTCCAAAAATGTGACAAGATGCAGGGGCAACGTTCCATTGGGACTCACCACAGCGATCCACCCAAGGGCAGGTATGCTTTCGCTGACGGCCGAGAGATGATTAAACATTTTACTCCCTCGGTTTCTCTCTCTGAAAGTTTGGATTTCCTGAATCTTTTCCGATATTGGTTTCAGAAGTGCAGCCACGTCATTCTGTAAACAAACAGGACTGCTACTAAATACAGAACAGAAACATAGCGCCTCTACCCATGTTGGCCTAAGCAGAAGGACTCAAGACTAGCCATTGTCCTGGGGGCTAAAAGAAGCATATATCCATCTTTCAGAATAGAATGGATTTTTTTTTTTGTTATAGTAATACTGTATTTTCATTCTGTGATGTATGAACTTTGCACATATTTTTAACATTATTAACACTGTCTCCTGAGACATGGAAAAAACCCAGAAGTACAATATAGCCCCTGTTTTGGAGAATCCTGCATGCGATACAGTGAAACAGCATAGATCAGTTATATTTTCAAATTGAATGCATAGATCACACACTAGAATAATACAGGTTTCAAATCGGGGTGGGCGAGAGGTTAGTAAAAGGATATCTTCCTATTCCTGTGGGAAAATGACGTGAGGGAGGGTCATCAGTTTTACCATAGTTACCATAATCCGTGTGAAAAAGTAAAAGTCTTTCATTGAGGCTCTTTTTAAGAAAATATGATGGCTTCTAATATTTATAGTTACCTTACTCTGGTTTGGCTTTCTACATTGTCCCCAGCCAACTTGGCCTATGACTACCGGCCACTCCCACTTCTGATTAATTCAACAACTGACTTCTCTAGTCATATAAGAAATGACTTTCAAAATTATGTGAGGTGAGTTCTGAAGTATCACAGAGATAGGTGCTTGTAACATCTCCCCATCCATCCCTGTAGCATTCTCTACTTTCTTCGGTTTTGAAGAGCAGATACAAGATACAAGGATACCTGACTGTGTGTGTGTGAGTGTGTGTGTGTGTGTGTGTGTGTTTCAAAGAAATAGCAACATTCTTGTACTTCAGCTTTGCAAAAGCAGCTGAAGAGGTTTCAGCAGTATTTTACTACATCTTGTTTGCACGAAGTAAAATGGAACAGCCCCTTAACGTCCTTAATTTCTTTAACCAAGACTTCAGAGCAAAGGTTCCCAGCCTTGGCTACACCTGAAATCACCCGGGGAGCTTTAAAAAACAGAGGCCTGGGTCCCATCCCCAGAGACTCGGATTTAACTGGTCTGGAGGTGGCCTGGGTTGGGGGGGGATTGGAAAAGCTCAACAAGTACAGATTTTAATCACTGCTACAGGGGTGGCTTAACACCCCCAAGGACAGTCATTCCTGCCAGGGAGAGCAAACCATTAAGAAAGAAATTATGTCCAGCTGTGGCAGCTTTCAGACCTCACTTCTCCTTCTTGACTCCTTTATACAACCCTCCCCTAAAGGAAATGCATGTAAGGGCTTTGGAATTAGAATGACTTGGGTTCAAATCTTAGCTCTGCCACTTACTACCTATGCGGCCTTGAGCAAATTACTTAATCTGAGCCTTGGTCTCCTCATCTGTGGATCAGAGATAATAATACTTGCAAAGATAAGGCATTTTAAACCTCTTCAAAGGATTCTTTTACCCCAAATTCAACATCTGATCTAAGGTGTGTTATAGATTTTCCCAGAAGGTAGCTGATTTTTAATTATGGCAAAACTACTACAAAGCATCCTAATTTTCTCCAACAATTTGCTGAGCCATAATATTTCTGATGCAATGACACTTTTGAGAAAGGCCAGAATATCTGAATTGTCCATGATACCTGGCCTATTGCCCCAAGGGTAAAAAGAACCAGAAACCGTGTATTTACAATGTTAGATAGATTTATTAAGGCCATCTTTGTTTATCTCTAACTTCTCAAGAACAAACTCTAAAGCCCAAGGAGACAGAGTATTCTGGAAGATATTTTACATTGGTTATCTGATGAAAGCATTATAAAGATTGAGAAAGTTGCCTTCTGCCTTAGTTTGGCAATTGCGTGAAGAATTGTCTTCATTTAAAAGAAAAATTCTAAGAGAACTAAGTACAACGGCTATTTGCACAACCCTAATAAACAGTACAGCTTTTATTCTGTGCCAATAGATTTCTCCCGTACTTTAAAGTTGGCTTACATTCTCCAGCTCATCTTGAACTTTCACAGCTGGAATCAAAAACAGAGAGAGAACATTAGAGCTATGGTGTGATTTCCATCAAGGCTGATCGTGTGGGATGTCAGACGAAACGAGAATGGGGGAGGCTATTCGTTAGAGGTCCTTCCACCTGTTTAAGTATTAAGCCTGTATTAGGCATACTCAATAAATACAGGTTGAACTGCTCTGATGTCAAGTAACACTACAAAAGGGCTTTCCACTGATAGCAGATAAATGTAAGAGGCATCCTGGTTTTTTCAACAGCGTACACTGGCTGTTGCTCCTCAGACACACCTAGTGTGGCTAGTATGCTTTGAAATGACTTTAAAACAGCCAGTTTTACATAGGTCTCACTCAGATTGTTTTTTTTAACTTATCACTCAGGTTTCTTTTATTCTGAGAGATGTTTCCCTCAAAGAATATAATTTTTCAAGGCTCATGTGAAGATTAGCTGGAAAATCTCCCCCGCCCATCCCCAGGTTTCTAGGCTTTAACAGAAGGTGAAAAATGGCCCAACTGGAGGAGATGCATGTGCAAACTGCAAGTTTCAGCAAATGTTCCCAAGGGCTATCTTAGCCTGATGGGACTGTACTTTGGAGAGTATTTCAGGACTCCATGTCTTTACGACCCTAGCTTCTGCTTTCAAGTTGAAGAACTGAGACCCATTATCAGCTTCATCTCAGCTTAGCTCCAGAAATAATTGTTTTGCAGAAAGGAAAATTAAAGAGCTTTATCAGCAAGCTTTGTAGAAACTTTACCCAAAAAGGAAAACCAAATTCCCACTCATGCTGTTTTGTAAGGGATGGAACAAACTCTGGGAGTTTGACCTCGAAGATGTGTCACTGAGTAAAACGAAACAAGCCTGCTATTTCTGGAATCCAGGGTTTTTATGTGGTCCTACGTCAGGTAGAAAATGGACAATCTCTTGTTACTTCTTTTTAAATACTTTCCTTTTCTGATTATAAAATCAATATACACTTTTTGTGAAACATCGGGAAACACAGATGGGAAAACCTAAGTAAACAATAAACATTCTTAATTCCACCACATGAAAAAAAGCAGTGCTAATTGTTGATTATTTTTCCTTGTAGATATAATTATTAGAGGTATCTTCAAAAATAACAATAATTATTTTTAAAATAATGACAAGACCATAAAGAATGGTTCTAAGAGCTCAATTCAAGCAGTTCAATTAAAATAAGCAAGTACACAAACAAATAAAATCCCATCAACATGTCCCTCGCAAGTACCATGAGAAGGCTATCACTTTAGATAGGATGTTTTCAACATAAATACTACAAACGCATTACTAGTACAACTTGGGCAAACTTAGCAGCATTAAAGTAAAAATCGGACTTTTTAATATTTGTATCCCACCTACATTTAAAATTCTAAGAAAGCTCATATCTAGCAGCACTTAGCCAACCATACTACCAAATATCAATCATTATTACTATGGTGTTTTTTGTGCAAAGTTTTACCAGCTGATTCCATTTGGGTGCATGTGTGTACATGTGTGTGAGTTATAGCAAAGAAAACACACGGAAAGATATACATCAAGGTGTTAACCTAAAATTTTTATTTAATTTTATTGGCTTATCCATATAATCTAAATTTTCTAATATGTACATGCATTTCTTTTGTAATTAAGGGAAAAGTTTTAAAACATACTAGTTTTGTACCTTCAATGGTAGAAAAAATTTCACATACGTACTATTAAATTTACATACACCGAAAAGTATTAAGCTTTTTTTTTTTACCATCAGGGAAGCAGATTCAGGAAAATATGTTCAAAAACTATCAGAATAAATTATTCAGATGCAGAAAAACAGTTAACATTTTCTCAGACAAAGGTTATCCAAATCAGGAACAGCGTTTGCTTCTAAAAATATATGATTTGGGCACACTCTAATAAACGAAGCAATTGTTTTCACCATTTTAAGTTAGGAGCAAATTTTTTTTATCAGAAATGTTATTTCGAGTTAACTTGCTTTGGTGCAATTATAGATATTTCTCAGGCCGGTTCCCCTTCATGTTCCTCTTACATAAAAATTTTCCACTGTTCAGGAACATTCTGGAGGTTTCAGAATATGCTCATAATAATACTTTCAGAAACATTTGTGCATTTAAGACAACTTGAAATTTTAAAACATTTGCAAAACTGTCACAGGAGTCAATTTAAATAAACAAAACCTACTGAGCACCACAAATGTACATGATACTATGGGACTTGCTGTTATATTGCATCATGACAAATTCCTTGGAAAATATTTTTATATGTTTTTAAGGCTTTACAGTCCACATATATATCTTATTTTGGGGTTGCTAAGCTCTCTTAAAAATACACTCAAGAATCCCACAGACTTTTGCTTATATTCCTTAAAAATCATTCTTAAAGAGTAAAATCAAGGAGATTAGGTCTCCTTGAGCAATGAATTGCTTTGGAGAGTTGCATTATCCTGATACTTAGGAGAGAAGCTTCTAGCATGCATGAACTCCTCCTTATATTTTTAATGCAAATTCTTTCAGCAACTCATTATACTCATCAGCACATTTTCTCCAGTAATAATTTTTTTAAAAAACAAACTTTCAGACATACAGAAAAGCATAGAAAATAATAATGACAGGCACTCATGTATATGAAACATAATTTAGTATCACATTGGGTCCCAGGATCACCACGCTGATATCCCTTTACTGACATTCCCTTTACTGACATTTGCTGAAGAACAGCTGGAAATACAGAGATCTGGAGCCTGGGACATAGAACCACTTAAATAAGATCTCAGGAGTGGCAGTGAAGCTCGATGTCAAATTGTTCTACTTTTCTCATAAAGGTAGAACAGTCCACTTGCAGTTGCCAATTGGGCATTTTTAACATAAAGTCTTTTCTGCAAAAGCATCCAGCAAATCGTAGGCCAAAGAGCCTTCTCCAAAGTCATTTTCTTACTCTTCAGATAATAATTTACACTGTTGCTATCAATATAGTTTAATTTGTCA